ACCCAGAAGCAGAAGCCCTCCCTCCAGGTCCGTCTGCCCAGAAGGCAGAGATCAGCCCTCACAGGATCCCTGGATCTTGGAGCAAAGAGGAAGATAACCAAACGGTCATATTGTGAAGGAACTAGATGCTCTCCAATGGGGACAGGCTCTAGGGGCTGCTGTGTCTGCTACACAGAAATGTGCTTCTGGGCGATTCATGTTCCCCACAGGCGTTCCCTGGCTTGTACAAGCCCGGAGACTGGGTCCTCCTTAAGACTCGGAAGAATCAACACCCTGAGGCTCCACTATGACCGGAGCGGAAGGGACCCTCTGGAGTCCTTCTGGTGACACATTCTTCAGCTAAGTGAAAAGGAGGTAAACCTTGGAGGCATCACTCACAAGTAGCAATCATACCCATTTTTCGTCAGGATTCCCTCCCTCCTCTCTAGGATCCGGAAACAAGTCACACCTTCCAGGACAACAGGAAACAGAAGGAGCAAACCATGCAAACAGTGGACGGCCATGGAGGCCTGAGGCCGACTTTTCCACCCAAGAGTGTTCTTGTGAACCTTGAACTGATCTAAGGTTACTTTTCAAGAAAAAACAGACCAAAACTGAGGGGGCTCCAGAATCCCCAGAGAGAGAAGAAGCTTTTCGTGTCCCTGAAACGAGCCTCCACCCCATCAGGTTGAGAGGCCAGAAGGAAGCGACAGCTGAGGGAAACGGCTTCCCCAAGATCCTGGGCCGGTCCTCTATTGATGCGATTTAATGCCATCTTGCTCTCCCACACACTAGTCTGCACTGCTTAGTCCATCACTCCTACCTCCTTGTTTGAAACCCCACAAAAGATTAATCAAAATTTTCGGCTTCCCCCTCAGATGTCATTCCATATGGACTCACTCTCTGACTATGAAGCCCCCTCATTCAAGCAGCTTTGCCTGAGTCCTTCTGGCATGTGGTTGGAACCATCTTCTTCATTGATTCCAGTCCAGGCTCTAAAGTGTCCCCGACTTTTCTTTACTATGTTCTTGTGTTTGCCCTGGACGCTCAGGCGTGGTATGATAACTGCTTAATGAGAATTTCAGGGGCTGCCCAGTGGGACAGTGATTAAGTTCAGGTGCTCCACTTTGGAGGCCTGCAGTTTGCAGGTTCAGATCCCAGGTCCGGATCTATGCTGTGGCAGGCGTCCCACATAAACTAGAGGAGATGGGCACGTATGTTAATGCAGGGCCAGTCTTCCTCAGCAAAAAGAGGTGGATTGACTGCAGATGTTGGGTCAGGTCTAATCTTCATTAAAATAGAAAAAAAATTCAGAGGCCTTTTCAAAATCTGGACACCTTACTGACTGTTGGATCTGCCACCCAAACCCCTACTCAGGAACTGATCGTGGTCCCCCTGTAATAATGCCAGTAATCCTGGGGCCAGCCCCATGGCGTAGTGGTTAAGTTCGTGCACTCTGCTTTGGCAGCCATGTGTTCGCAGGTTCGGATCCTGGGCATGGATCTAGCACGGCTCATCAAGTCACGCTGGGGCAGCGTCCCACATAAAAGAGAGGAAGATTGACACAGATGTTAGCTCAGGGCTAGTTTTCCTCAAAAAGACAAAAATAATGCCCGTAATAAAATTCTCAAGCATCCCCAATTTCATTGTGACCTATGACAAAACACCTTTAGAAGTAACCTCTAGAGTCAGATTGATGGACAGACAATCTGCAGTCCCCTGTTTTTCTTAACTGAGCCTAAATTTGATCCTCTTCTCATGTCCTCAGATCAAAAAGATGACCCTGGGATCTACGCTTGTCAAGGCTTCAGTCATGGCACCTCTTGGTCAGGATGTTGTAAAAACCATCCCTATTTTTGGCAGCCTGTGTCCCTCCCATATTTAAGATCCAAGTGTTTCAACGAGCAAATAAGAATCAAAACACTCCTCTATGTATAGAGCTAAGACAGGAGAAAACACGTTCCTCTAGGGGCACTCCCACCTCTGCCAGGATCAGGTTAAACTGTTTCTCCAGGAGTGCACACTGGCCCCTGGGTCAACTGGGTCCTAAACAAACTCCCCCAAGATGAAATCCTAAGTTTTATGAGGATGTTTGATATTCCATGTGCCTCCTCAGGGTACATCTTTGTCGACATGTGGGTGCAAACAGCAACCCAGGGCCTCTAAATGCCTTGATAGCTGGTGCATGGGAAGTGCTTGTCTGTTAGGATACTCCATTCACGTACATAAATCAAGCAAAGCTCAGCATTGGACAAGTTCTTTCAACTTCTTACTAGAACTAGAAGATCTAATTAGATGGGGATTCCATCTGGGGAACATCTGACAAATATTTGCCTGGGGTCAGTCAGATGCTGCTGGATATTTCTTTGGACAAACTCTTTACCCTGTGGGGTGTGGCTGCTCATGAACATAGGATTAGACATCTTCCTCTCACCTTAGGAATGATAGCTAGAGAAACGGCCCAAGCCTTAGCTTCTGCGGCAGAGAGCATTGGATTCTTTGGCTAAAGTAGTGTTAGATAACCGAGTTGCTCTAGATGACGTGGTAGCTGAGCAAGGAGGTGTTTGAGCTGTTGCAAACTCCTCCTGTTGTGTCTGTGTTAATGCCTCTTCAGGGGTTGAAACTCACATGGATAAAATTACACAACCGGCAACTTGGCTCCAACAAGTGTCACCCCAAGAACCTGGCTTTGATCTCATGAGAAATATCTTCTCATGAACCCCAGCAGGAATAAGGTCGACGCTTGAACGGTTGCTTAAATGAGGTCTAATTATTTCATGTTTGTTGAGATGTGTTTCTTCTTGTCAAACTCTGTATTTGTTCTGTGCCCTGTATCCTTAAACACACACCCTCAAAGCATCCGATGACTATTCAAGGTAAAGGCCCAGACACTGGGAGCCCTGGATATTTGCAATTAAAGGCAAAGGAATTTCATTCCTTGAAGCCCAAGTCTGCGCCCCTAACCAGCAGGAAGTAGCTAGAATGGATGTCGCTACTCAGGATGAGGAATGGACAAAGAAAGGGGGGTATTTGTTAACATCACTGACCAAACCAGACTGGCCCTCTTGTTTCCTATTGTATCAATAATAAAATGTCAATGTTGTTTTGCAGGAGCATTGAGCAAAATCTGCCAGTCACATAGCTGGAGCATGCTGAGAAGATGGAACCCTTGTCCTCAGATGACCTTGAGCCTCTTAGAAACCAGGGGTCCCCTAACTATAGAACTCAGTGTGCAGAGAAAGCCGTGTGGGGACCCTCATGAGAGGGGAAGGGTCCCTTGATTTGTAGCAATCCAGACTTACAAGACTCTTACACACCCGCCACCCATCAGATTCCGTCAAGCTAGTATTCTACATGACCCCTCCCTCTGCTGACTCTACAAAGTCTGTCCCTGCTTCAGCTGGGGAGACAGCTTTGACCCTTGGCTCCTGGCTCCGTGTTTGTCGACCTTGCAATGAAGCTCTTTCTTCTCTCGAGTCAGCCGTGTAGTATTGGCTTCTCTATGCATCGGGCAGCAAGCCCTTGCTCAGTAACACCCACATCCTCACCAGCACCAGCCATTTTCTGCTCTTCTGCCCTCTGCCCGGGGACCAGGAGCTGACGGTCCTTTGGTTGTTTTCCTCTCTCTGCCCCTGAGCTGGAGGCTCCCTTCACAAGCAGAGCGCACACTCACTCCAGAACCGCTCGTCCAGCTCCTCTGTCCCTGTGGGTCTTTTGTGTCTCTGGCCTGAGAGCTTTCCAGGGGCTGATGAAAATGCTAGAAATATCAACTGAATGGTTGCAACATGCTGGAAAAATGGCCAACTGAAAACTAATAACAGTTGGGTTCAATCGGTATAGAATACAACTTCATGCCAACCAGGCAGCCCCAGTGCAGCGCCTCCTATGATTTCTACCTGATGAGGAAGGTGGTGCATTGGAATATGGCAGATGTGATGCCAACGCGGCTGGGGGCGGGCATGTGTGCACAGTCCTGGCCGCATACTCGGCATGGTGAGAGGAAGGCAGGGTGAGTAACAATGTGACCCTGGAGCCCTCCTTGGGTTCCAATCCTGGCTCTAGGCACTTTTGGCTTGTGACTCACACAAGTGACTTTAGCCTTCTCTGCCTCAGTTTGTTTCTCTGTAAAATAGGGGCAGTGACAGTATCTATCTCAGAGGGGTTTTGTGAAAATGTAATGTTGAGATCTTTTTGGTTTTGTTTCGTTTTTTTTTCAGATTGAGTATAGTTTCTTATTTCGTCAAGAATATGGAGCCCCTGCACCATGCCCAGACCTTTGCTGGGTTGGGTCTGGGGACACGGTGGTGACAACAGCCCTGGTCCTGTCCTTCTGGGGCTCACTTTCCAGTGGGGGAAACAGACCTCTCCCCAGACGGTGATGACCCAGGGTGAGCAGGGCTGGGATGGAGGTGCTTGACCCAGCCTGGAGGTCAAGGAGGGGCCATCGAAGCTGACACTTGGAGGGTGGGCCTTGGGTCTGAGTCTAGCTCGTACCGACCCTTGTTCTCCTCCAGATCCCTTTCCCTGCTCCTTTGACAGTGTGATAAACAGCTTCTGTGTGCATGGCCATGAATCAATCCAGTGCCTTCTCTTGGGGAGCCCAGCCAGGGAAGAGCACAGCAGGGCCATAGCCCCAGGCTGGGGTCCACTGCGGTTCTCCACTTCCTGTCTGTGTGAACTTGCACGAGTGACTTCACCTCTCTGGGCCTCAAAGCCCTCGTGAAATTAATGGGGCCCAGCTCCAAGATTCTTGCAAGGATGCTTTTGAGATCGGGAAGTTCCAAATTCTCAGCGCAGAGTAAGTGGAGACGCTCCACACATGAGTCTCTCCTTCTGTTCCCTAAAGGCGCGACCCCCACCCTGTCCCATGGCCCCCGCACCACAGCAAAGAAGCTCTCAGAATTCTCTACAGGATTTTTATTGCGGGTTGGGGGTGGAGGGGACATGGGATGTCCTGTGGGAAGTCTTCGACACAGAGGCTGGGGATGTGGGAAATTTCAGAGCCTTTGCTGGGCCTCTGTCTAAGGCACAACCCTGGAGGAGAGGGGCGGATCCTGCTTGGGTGGGGGCGTGGCGGGTGGATCCTGCTTGGGTGGGCGGGTAAGAGGGGCAGTCTCCTCGTGTGGAGGGGGAATGAGGCCTTTTCCATCTGGAATACTTTTGATTATCTTTGATGCCACTTTCCTGTAGAGAGAGACAGGGAGAGGTCATTGTGTTTTGCCCCAATCCCGCCCCTGCCCTGACTCCCTGCTCTCTTTCTTCCCCCACGACAACATGGAGAGCCCTGGGCTGGGCGGCCCCACTTCTGTGCCTGTTTCCCAGAGGGACCAGAGCTCCTTGAAGTCAGAACGCTTCATGCTGGCCTGGCTCTCCAGGCCTGCCCTCTCTGCCCCCACGCCCACTCTGGCCCTCCCTGTCCCCTGTCCCCTGCTGATTCAAGGGCACTTTCCAGCCGTCCGCCCTTTGCTCAGGCTGTTCTCTTGGCCTAGAATGCCGCCCTCGCCTTGACTATGTGCACATCTTCCTGCCTCAGGGCCTTTGCACTCCCCGTCCACAGGGAACATTCTCCCCAAGTTTCTGGTCCCTGCTGCATTTTCCCTCATTCAGATCTCAACTGAAAGTGTCACTCTTCAGAGCAGACCCAGTCGCCCTGTCTACAAGAGCCCCTCCCCTGGCTGTTCCCTGGTTGTTCTGCCCACCCTGCTTATTCTCTTCTCAGTGCTGCGCTCCCTCTGGGCTCCTCTCCTGGAACTCCCTGGTTCATGGACTGTTCCCCTCAATCTCCCGCCCCCGAAAGGCAGCTCCCGGTGAGCTGTGACTTCGTCCTGTTCATCACTCTCATTCCCCACATGGACCAGGTCCTGGCCCTGAGCCGATGCTCAATGAATATTTGTTCAGGAACGAATGCATTTCTAACTCCTCAGACAGAGCCACTGTGGGCGAAACACCATGGAGCGTCCACACTGTGCCAGGCCCCACGCAGTCCTCCAGGTCCTTCCCCTCAGAAGCCCCCATGGCACAGATGGAGAAACTGCGGCTCCTGATGTCACAGGAGGAGAGGGTTTGCCCCAGCCTGTGCCCCACGTCTGTGCAGCCCCAGCTTGGGCCTGTCCCCACCACCCGGGGCCATCTCCACATGAGCCTGGCCGGAGTCAGGAACCTGTCCCCCAAGTCTGAGCACCCAGAGAGCCAGCTGTGTGACCGCAGGGACCTTGTCAGCCTCCCCAGCCTCAGTTTTCCCGGTGTCTTCACCCATGCACCCAGCCCACCCGGGCCCGGGAAGGGGACTAACCGGGTCGCTGAAGCTCCGTTCTTCTTGTTGATGTCGTGGATGATGTGTTTCACGATCTCCTTCCCCAGGTGCTTTCCAACCTTCTTCAACCCCCCCCAGATGACATCGATGACGCCGTCCGGCTCTAGGTCCGCCTGGTCCGGCTCTAGGTCTGCCTGGGCTGGGGCTCGGCCTGTGAAGGAGACGGGGAGTGTGCAAACATTTCGGTATTGGGAGACCTCCCGATGAGCGTCAGGGATGGGAAAGGAGGTCCAGGAATGGGATTCTTGGGGCTCCTGGTGTTAAAATGACAGGGGAGGGTAGTGGAGCCCCAGGTGGGTCTCAAGCTGCTGGGAATTGCTTTCTCTCTCCCTGGACACACCCCGCCCACACTTCCACTCTGTAAGAGCAAGACAACCACCCTGGAAGGGTGGGGATCACTACGTCATCCGTTGCTGGGGTTCCCCAGGGCAGACTTCCCACCTGCTGGACCACCCCTTAGAGAACCTGAGACCCAGCTGATGGGATGTGGAGGGGATGGGGGTGATGAATGGACGACAGGAGAAGCCAGGCACATAAGGGGCCGCAGTGCTCTCCAGGGTCCTCTGAGCCTGGACCCCATGCCCAGGGCCAGCTTCGCACTTCCAAGTCTGAAACTCCCAGGGTCTCCTCTCCTCTTTTACCTTCACACACCATCCACAGAGCCACCAACAGGACCGGGAGCGACAGAGCGAGCCTCATGGCTGGTGAGGGGGCTCTGGAGGCAGAAGCGGGGATCGGGTCATCAGTGACACCCCATATCCCTCCCCCAGGTCCCTCCCGCGAAGTCAGTGAGCACCTACCTGGACCAGAAAGGGACAGGAAGGTGAGCTCCCAGCTGGACCAGTGAGGGCCAGGTGAGATGAGGGAGCCTGGCCTGTCCTGGGCCTTTATTAGGCTGGGGAGGGGTGGGGCAGGTCCCCTTTCCTCCACCTGGGCCTCCCCTGGGCCTGCCTCCGAGTGTCCTCTCACCTTTCAATTTGGGCCCCTCGCTGATGGCAGTGGGTCAGGTGGGGCGCAGGCACGACCCTTTGGCCCGAAGCCTGTGGCTGTCCATTGCCCACATCTCCAAATCTCCCTGACTGTGGGGCCCTGCACCTGCTCCAGCCCCTTCCCCCTCAGGGGGCAATCTCCACCTCCCCTACTGATGCACACCCTGCTCCCAGACTCAGGGCCTCTCCCTCTCCCTCTGGGTAGCTCAGGGACTCAGTTCACCCTGGACCCCGGCCCTCTTCCATCCCACCACTTCTTCACAAGCCTCTTCAGCCCAAACAGCTCCCGCTCCACGTCTCTGTGGTCACGCAGTTGCCCCACACTCCTACTCCCTGCAGGGCCCCCCCATCTCACTCTCAGACTCGCCCTTCATGCCCCACAACTTGCATCTGGAGCACCCAGGCCTCCCTCCCTGCTCTCTGGGTCTGAACCTCACAGCCCCCTCTCTCCCTTTTGGAGAGGGGTCTTTCCAGCCTGTCTGAACTGCAAAACCTGCGCTGCAAGGCTCCCAGTGTGGGCCCCACCATCCTTCCCCCAGGCCCCCTCTTCCATTGCTCCTGCATCTCCAAGTCTGCAGGGCCCTGTAAACCCTCCATCTGCTGTTCGTCACCCTCCCAGGCCCCTCCTGGCACCCGGGTCCCCAGCTCCCCTCCCTCCACCCCATCTGCTTCTCAGGGCTGGATCCAGGGCTTCCTCCCTCCTCTCAGCCGCCTTTGACCCCCAGTGATCCCTGGCAGCTGGGAGAAGGGTGGCCCAGGATCCAGACTCTAGCTTGGCTGACCTTGTTTCCCCACCACCAAGTGTCAGTCTGGAGATGAGAGGAGATGGTTTGAAAGGGACACACAGACACTATCCTGGCAGCGCTGCAACACCCCTCTGGCCAGCCCTGCACTTCTGGTCTCTGTCAGCCACACTGCTGTCTTCCCAGACATCCGCCTCCCTGGTGAGCCCAGCAGTCCCCAGACATGCACCCAAAGTCAGCTCCGTTCCCTGTCCTGACCCAAAAGAAGAGAAAAACAAGTTGGCTTTTCCAGTCTCATCTGCATCCCAGCTATTGGGGTTTCTGTTCACAGATGGGGAAACTGAGGCACAGCCAAGAGCATTCAGTGGCTCAGTGAATGGTTAGGTGGGTGGAGGCATCTTAGTCCTTCCCATTCCCAGACCTCTGGCTATCTCTCTGCCTCCCCGCCAGTGTCAGATTCCTCCCCACAGCACCCCTGCCAGCCTGTGTTTTCCGAAGTTCCGTGCCCAGCCCCTGATCCACGTCTTGACCTGACTGGGGCTGAGGTGAGGCGGGACAGCTCTGTCTGCTCAGACGTCGTCGTATGTGAGGATTCAGAATTCATCTCTTCAAACAAGAGACGTGGCTGGTGACACCTCTTTCCCTGACACCTGGGGAAACAGGCTCAGAGGAGTGTCCCCAGCTCCAGGGCACACTGTGATCTGTGGAATGCTGAGCTGGGGCCAGGCCCTGGCCTCTGAGCCCACTGACCCTTTCCCTGCTCACTGGGCTCTGGGTGAGTCAGGTGGGAGAGGGGAGCCGCCTCCACAGAGGCACCCAAAGCAGGGCCAGGGAAAGCCCTCGTGGTGCAGAGGGTGCCGGAGAGAAAGCAGGCACAGGGGTGGGGAGAATGCAGCCTGGCCTGGGAGTCATGAGCGCCAGCTTGGCCCGTCCCATGCGGTGGGACCCCTGCTCCCCTCCTCTGAGCTCTGAGGGCGTGGGAGAGGAGAGGCTGGTGGCTCCCAGCTCCAGCCCTGGCTTCTCTAGTGTCAGCTCCCAGCTCCATCTCTGAGCCCTGACCTCCATTGGAGGTACTGACCCTCCCAGGGTGGGCCTCTCCTTCTCCCTGCAGCCTGGACTCCGCACCCACTGGGCTTGTCGGGATAGACAAGAGGTCCACAATCCAGCTGGAGGAGGGAAGGAGGGAGACTGAGGGCAGAGGACAGGAAGGACCTGCTCAGAGGGAAGAGACTTGCTACCCGAGAGGGAGGGAGAAAGGCAGAGGAACCAGGAACAGCAGAATGGTGGACAAGACGAGCCTGGAGGAGGGAGCGTGAAGGGAAAAAAGAAACAGGCAGGGTCGGGGGGCCAGAGAACCAGCAGGTGGAAGAGAGGACAGAGAGTGGTGGAAGGAAACAGAACCCAGAAAAATGAAGTCTCTTGGGGACACCAGGTCAGCAGACAGAAGGAGCAGAATCAGGTAAGACGACAGGGACAATGGCATCGGGAAAGTGGCCTCACCATGACAGTGGTCTCCGGTCTTTTGAGTCACAACAACCCTCTAAACAGGTATTGTGAAGCTGAGATAGGAGGGAAGAGTGTGAGCGGCTGAGCTCCATGATGGAGGGAGACACAGAGAGGAATTTGCCAGAGACGGGGAGAGCTGAGAACAGTCAGAGAGAGGCAAGGCCGGGAGCTACAATGGAGAAAGGAAGCAAGAAATGAAGAGAGACCCCTAAGAGCTGGTGAGTGGGACAGAAAGAAATAACAAACAACCCCGGAAGGAACATCCTCTTCTATCTCCCCGTATGTCTCTCTGGCCCCTGCATTGTACCCTGTTTGGGATGCCAAGAACACAGGACACACAAGAGCTTCGTGTCACTAGGAACAGCCAGGGTGGTCTTCATTCCAGTGACCCAGCCCAAAATCCTTAGCAGTGTATGCAGCTTCCCAGGTGCCCACGTAACAATCCCATCATGGACCAAACCGTCCTGTCCCTCTTGTATCCTACTGCATCCATAATGAAATGTCAGCCTTGTTTTGCAGGACCAATGAGCAAAGCCTGCAAGTCACACAGCTGGCACATGCTCAGAAGATGGAACCCTTGTCCTCAGGTGACCTGGAGCCACCTAGGAAGCAAAAGTTCCTTAACTGTGGAACTCAATGTGCAGAGAAAGTGGTGTGGGCAGCCTCACGAGAAGGGAGGGGTCCCTTGATGGGTAGCAATCCCGACTTCTAAGATTGTGACACTCCTGCCCTCCAATCACATTCTGCCAAGCTAGTATTCTGCATAACCACGCCCTGTCCCAACTCCATAAAGTCCGTGCCTGCTTCAGCTCTGGGAGACAGATTTGAGCCCTGCCTGCTGTCTCCTTGCTTGTCATCCTTGCAATAAAGCTCTTTCTTCTCTCCAAAGCCGGTGCCGTAGTATTGGCTTCTCCAACCATCGGGCAGTGAGCGCTTGCTCAGTAACCAATTGGTGACCACAAAGGGACTTTTGTTCTCTTGCCCACCAGGCCAAAGCTTGGTGGCCGCTCAGCAGGGCGCTGGTCCTCGTTATTGACCCTGAGCAACCCCCAGGCTGTTTGAGTCTGGAGGGTCAACTTTGGGCTCTTGCTTCCCCAGGGCAGCACCACCAGCTCTTTCTGTTACTTTCACTCTTGAGAGAAGATGACATTTGTGGATCAAGATGTCTTTGGTTGAGTAATCTTAAGAAAGTGACTGTGCTTTACCTCATCTTCTCATTTGAGGCCCTGGAAATATAAATTTGACTTGTATTTTAGGAAATCCTGGCGAGCTGAGTCGCAAGTCTTCGGCTTGCATCTGGGATAATTAGAGACAGGATAAATGGTTCACTCGGAGTTACTCCAGGTAATCTGGTCCTGAGTACTCTTGGTAATCTGGTTCTGAGTGCTCCTGGTAATCTGGCTACAATCCTAATCTATGTTATATGCAGAATTGCATTGTGCATTATTGTGTATTAATGCTGTTTGTCTAATTTGAATTGGTTGTTTAGGGACTGAGTTCTGGGTGACCGCAAGAAACTCTCTTTACGAATTAATTTGAGGACGGTCTTCTGACTCTGAAGAAGAGAGGCCGTGTTCCCTCCAGTCCCTCTGGATGGTCCCAGGTGACGAGGGTTTTGTGGAGGTGTCGGGGCATCTGCCTGTACAGGTAATGACCTCATAGGGAAGACCCCCCAAATATACCTCGCCAAAACTTCCCTGTTCATAGGGAAGCGCCCGACAGTGGCCCTGTCCACGGCTTAGTCACCTAAACTCTGTGGGTGTTGGAACAGGTACAGGAAACAGCTGACCCCTTGGTCATTCTCCGGGGAGTTGTTCCTGCAAGCACCACACTGTCAGAATGTGAACCTCATCCCTAGAGAGACCTTGTTTGTTGCAGTCACCTGGGAGAAAATGGGAAATGTAGATGACCCACCCCATGGAAGCCCTTTGGGACACATTCTTCAAAATTGGGTGATGCTCACTTATAAGCCCATGAAGAAAAAGAAAATGATTTTCTTTTATAAGACAAGCTGGCCCCAAGACTCATTGGGTCAGATGAGGTGTGGCCTGAGAATAGGTCTTTGAACTGTGAGACTATCTTGCAATTAGACCTATTCTGTAAAAGGGAAGAGAAAGGGGATGAGATCCCTTGTGTGCAATCTTTGCTGTCTTGATCTGAAAAAAGAAAGGGATATGAGCTCATGATTCAGAGGGAGGATGCACGGAAGAAACCCTATCCGTCCAGAATCAAAGTCAGAGGATGACCTTGCCCTTGCCCATTTGTTGTGTCCTACAGCACCTCCACCGCATGCTGGAGGCACAGTTGGAGATGACCAGGAAGGACATAATGACCCCCCTGATGCCGCTGGTTTGACCCAGTACCCACTTTGTCTAATAGAAAGGAATGGTCACCCCTCCTCATACCCATTGGGGTCCTCAGTTCGACACAGAGAATGTTCCACAGCAGGCAGGCAAATTCAAGTTATGGCAAGTTCCTCACCAAGGCCAGCCCAGAGGGTTTCTGTAGGTGCATTCCCCCTTTTCCACTTTGGACATATACAATTGGAAAAACAACATGTCTGCCTACCGAGATGATCCCCCACAGAGGGAAAGTTTGTTTACGTCCATATTTGCTACTCTGACCAACTGCGCCGACGTTCAGGCCCTCATGGACATCCTCCTCACCCCAGAGGAAGGGGGGATGATACTGGACAGAGCTCATCAGGAGGCCAAGAGACTCCATGAGTCACAACTTAGCAACTCAATCAGGGCTCCAGCGGTAGAGGCCCTGCCCGGGGTTGAGCCAGGCTGGGACTCCGATGACCCCAGAGAGTGGTCAAGTTGAAAGCATCACAAAGCATGTTTAATAACTGGACTGCAGGAGGGGGGTGTAAAGCCAAAGAGCCTAAATAAGGTCCAGGAGGTGCAATAGAGTCCAAAAGAAAGCCCTTCGACCTCTTAGTGAAAGTCTTTGAAGCCTCTAGAAGGTATACTGACATTGACCTGGGACATCTGGGCCACGTGAGGCTAATCAGTATGACTTTTATCATCAAAGCGCCCCAGATATAAGGAAACATTTACAAAGACTAGAAGGGGGATTAGGGATGCTGATGTCACAGCTGTTTGAGGTTGCCTTTACAGTGTGTAACAGTGGGACCAGATACCAGAAAGACACAAACAACGGGAGATGAGACAGCAGGCTGCCCTGCTCACTGTACCAATCAGTGGGAATCAACCAAAACCACAACAATCCGCAGCAAGAGGCAGAAGACCATGTGTAAGACCCTCTGAGTCCCCTTCTTCCAATCATCCTGGGCACGTGAATTGGGGACTAGACAACGTGCCTATTGCAAGCAGGAAGCCCATTGGAAAAGGGGTGTCCCAGTCATTCTCAGAAGGTGAGAAAGGAAACTGTGTGCCTGGTGAGCAGATGCTCCAATTTGCCGACAGTCACCAAGAATGAAGGGGCCCGCGGCTTTCTCTAGACTCCACCAGCATCACTGACATTTCCCACAAGGAACCCTGGGTGACAACTGCTGTGGGGAAAAGACTTGTAGACTTTCTAATTGACACCGGAGCTACTTATGTTGTTCAACCCCAGGCAGGCCACCCCCTCCCTCAAGACCACGTCCATTCCTGGTGAATCTGGGGAATTCTCTCGTACACCTTTCCTACAATCACTCAAGTGTCACGTAGGGAAAACATACCTAAAGCACAGCTGTCTGTATTGCCCGAGTGCCCAACTCCATTGTGGGGGTGAGATCCACTAACCAAATGAAATGCCCAAGTGACTTTCTGACCAGAGAAAGTAGACATTAATGTGCCCCCAGATCACTCCTGTGCCCACCATGCCACCATGTTGCAACTGGGAGACGAGCCTCGATCAGGAGTCCCCGGAAAACTTCTAGAAAGACAAGAGCAGGTGTTTGGGCCAACGGGAAGTGTGGAGGAGCCAAGAAGGCTGATCCAATGGTGGTAAAACTCTGCCCAGACGCCAGGGCTCAAAATTTAAGGCAATGCCCTTCACAGAGAAATGAGAAAGAGGGTATAAAGCCTCTGACAGCCACCTTCTCAAATGCCAATCAATCAGACTGTGTCGATTCCCATATAACACTCCCGTCCTACCAGTGCAAAAATCCGGGACCAGAGACAACCATTTTCTACAGAATTTGAGAGACTGTAACCAAATAGTAGAGGATACACATCAGGGGATGCCAAATCCTTATGCTCTGCTTACAACTTCATCTGGAGGCTTCTGCTGGTTTACAGTTCTGGACTTCAAGGATGCCTTTCACTGCATACCCCTAAGCCCTTTGTCTCAGGATCTCTTCCTCTTTGAATGGGAAGATCCAGAGACAAATGTAAAACAACGATATTGCTGGATGGTCCTCCCGCAAGGATTCCGAAATGCCCCCACGATCTTCGGGGAAGCCCCAGCCAAGGACGTAAGGCATCTCCAGTTATGTGAAGGAGTCTTACTCCAATACGTGGAGGACATACTGATTGCTGGTAAAAGTAAGGAATCTTCAGACCCAACTACGATCATTACTTTAAACTTTCTAGCAGAAAGGGGATATAAAATCTCCAAGGGGGAGGCACAAATTTCTCAACCAGCTCTAAGGACTTCAGGATCTGAGTCATTGAAAGGACACAGAAACTTATTACTGGACCGAAGGGAGGCACTAGCTGAGTTGACTGTCCCCAACAGCAGGAGACAGCTGTGAGGATTGTAGGGTTGGCTGGGTTTTGTTACATTTGGATCCCTCATTTAGGGCTTATGGGCAAACCGGTATATGAGACTCTTAAAGGAAATGACTATGAACCAATGAACTGGACTGCAGAACGCCACAAGGCGTTTTATATCGTCATGGAGAAGCTTCCAGTGGCCCCAGCACTTGGTCTCCCAGACGTTAAGAAACCATTTTCTTTTTGTGCATGAAAGACCAGGAGTGAGCGTAGCAGTGCTAACTCAGAATTTAGGTGCTGCCAGAAGGCAGTAGCTTATTTTTCAAAACAACAGGACATTGTAACTCAAGATGGCCAGTTTGCCTCCGGGCTGTGGCTGCAACGTGGAAACTTCTACAAGAGCCTGAAACATTTACCCTGGGTCAGCCTCCTACTATGCACCCTCACGTCGTGTGCTACTCCTGCTTGAAGAAAAAGGTGGATATTGGCCTCCTGCAGGGAGACTGGGCAAATATCACGCCATAATACAGGACAAGCCAAATGTAAACTGAAGGTGATGTCTCCCCTAAACCTGGACGCCCTGCTCCCCAGGATGACAGCAGAACCTGTCCACGGTTGTATACAAATGACTGAAGAAGTTCACTGTAGCAGCCCCGACCTGACTGCCCAGCCTTTGGAAAATCCGCATACGGAAATGTTGACTGATGGAGCATCTTCATGCACCGTGGACTCCAGGATGCTGAGTACACAGTGGTGACTCCTCAGGAAAACCCAGAAGCAGAAGCCCTCCCTCCAGGTCCGTCTGCCCAGAAGGCAGAGATCAGCCCTCTCGAGAGCCACGCACCTTGGAGCTAAGAGGAAGGTAACCATTTATACGATGCTCAGGATGCCTTCTCCATCGTGCATGACACATGGGGCCATATGGAAAGAGAGAGGGCTGCTAACTTTAAGAAGAAAAGACATCAAACACACGGAGGGGATACTGGCCCTGTTAGAATCTGTTCTGATGCTGGAAAAAGTGGCCATAGTACATTGCCTGGGCCACCCAAACACTGATAGTTACATAGCTTCAGGACATAATTTGGCCAATCAGGCTGCAACATAGGCAGCCAGAACCCAAAACCCAGATCGTAAGGCCATAGCACTACTTCCTAGTGAAGATCTGTCTCTTTTAAGCCTCAATGCTCAGAAACGGATCTAGACAGAGCAGCTGAATGGGGACTGCATGCTCACTCTCGAGGCTTAGATGGTGATCCGTACCAAACCCCCAGAGCAGGCTGGATTTAGGATGAACAGGGACCAGTGCTTATACCCGGGCATTTAATGGAAGGAATTGTTACTCGTCTGCATCATGGAATCCATCATGGGAGGGATGCCACTTATCATCGGTTCCAAAAGTCTATGGTTGGGCCACAAATGCAAAGAACCGTCCAAAAGGTGGCACAAAGTTGCCTGAAAATGCCCGAAACAATCCCAAAAGCGGGCCACTTCAATTTATAAAAGGGGTTTTATAATTCAAATATAATTGAAATTGAACCCCAAGGAAAGCACCAGGAGATGATGGGCAAATAGACTTTACTGTTCTACCAAGAGCCGCGGGAAATTAGACCTATTTGCCGGTATTTCTCCATGTCTTCACAGGATGGGTGTAAGGTTTTCCATGCAGGACAGAAAAGGCTTTCCAAGTAACCAAGGAAATGGTCCCTTACTAATGGAAACGATCCCTGGCTTTGGGCTGCCTCTTTCCATTCAAAGCGATAATGGAGGAACTTTCACAGCCAAGGTAACACATGAGGTGTCTGCAGCCCTCGGAATACAATGAAACTTACACGCTTCACGGAGGCCTCAGTCTACGGGAAAGACTGGAAAGATGAACCAGACTTTAAAGAAAATAATTGCTAAAATATGCCAGGAAACCAAGTTAACATGGGAAAGGGTCTGGCCAGTTGCCCTGCCTGGGGGAAGAGCAGCCCCAAGAAGCAGGCTTCCATGGATCCCTTAAGAAAGGTGATGGGGGGACGCCCCCTTCAGACTCAGTGTTATTGCAGTGTTGCAAATGGTCATATTGTGAAGGAACTAGATACTCTAAAATGGGGACGGTCTCTAGGGGCTGCTGTGTCTGCTACACATAAATATGCTTCTACGCAATTCATGTTCCCCACTGGCGTTCCCCTGAGAAAACAGAGTGAGTGAGAATGTGACCCTGGAGCCCTCCTTGGGTTCAAATCCTGGCTCTACCCACATTTGCTATGTGTCTCACACAAGTGACTTTAGCCTGCTGTGCCTCAGTTTCTTCCTCTGTAAAATAAGGACAGGGCCAGCATCTACCACAGAGGGGTTCTGTGAAAATGTAACGTTTAGGTTTTGGGTGGTGTTCTTTCTTTGCAATTTAGTATAATTCCTCATTTCATCAAGTTTTATTGAGGGCCTGCACCATGCCCAGACCTGTGCTGGGCTGAATCTGGGGACACAGTGGTGACAACAGTCCTGGTCCTGTCCTTCTGGGGCTGACTTTCCAGTGGGGGAGACAGACCTGTCCCCAGGCAGTGATGACCGAGGGTGGGCAGGGCTGGGATGAAGGTGCTTGACCCAGCCTGGAGGTCAAGGAGGGGCCATCAAAGCTGAGACTTGGAGGGTAGGCGTTGGGTCTGTCTCTAGCTCATGTCCAGCCCTTGTCCTTGCCCAGATCCCTTTTCCTCATCCATTGACAGTGTGATAAACATCTCCTGTGTGCATGGGCATTAGTCAACCCAGTGCCTTCTCTTGAGCAGCCCAGCCAGGGAAGAGCAGAGCACAGCGATAGTCCCAGGCTGGGGTCCACTGTGGTTCTCCACTTCTGGCCTGTGTGACCTTGCACAAGTCATTTTGTTACTGTGCGAGGTTTGTTTTTGCCTGCTGCCAAGAAAGCCAAACACAGAGATGACGAGATTGCAGCAGATAGAGGGTTAAATCACAAGGCAGTCATGAGAGGAAGCCAGAGCATGACTCCAAATCTGCTTTCTCGAAAATGGGGATTCAGGGATCTTTATGGGATGGCGGGGCAGGGTGGTCTGAAATGAGGAGATGGAGGATTGGAGGTGAGGAGAGGTGACATAATTGATGATATGCACAAGCGTCCTCACACTTCATGTCTCTTCATAGGACACAGGTTCACAAAACGGTGGTGTCAGCCTGATCTGAGGGTGGAGGTTTTATCCTCTTGACTTCTAAATGTCACCTATCAGACACCTGCATGGGTCCAGTTGATGAGCTGGTGGTCTAAACCAGCCTGAAGTGGACATGGAGTTCTCATTCCAGAAAAATAGCTCACAGACCCATTACCATGGTGACCCAGGCTCCAGGGACACGTTACCTATAGGAACCTGGTGGGAGTCAGACAGCCTTTTGCCTAAACAGCACAGTTAACAATGGGTGGGGGAACAACCAAAGCTGTGATCAGTAATTGCAAAAAGAAAAAACTTTACTTCCTAGCTGCTTCATCATCAATGGCTAACTGTTTTCCGGTTTCAATCCCCCTGTTCCTTGGTCATTCCCCAATCTTGAGGGATTCGGGGTGACGACCCATCTAGATCCTTCCTGGTGAATTGGGGCATAGGTCTGGCTTAGAGGAATGAAACTGTTAACACTCATTTGGAAATATTCTCTTGTTCCTGGCTTCAGGTTGACATTTTGCATTATTAGAATTTTGTACCTTACTTGACAGCTTTGGAACAACATCTCAAGGCCCATTTTATAATCAAGTATCAGATAAGAAGCATAAGAAGTATAGACAACCCAAATTTCAACAGTCCCTGAAAAATAGACCTAATCCCAGTGGGGCTTCCTTCTGATCTCCACTGGGACAGACATCTGGTCTTATTTCCCATAGTCTTCTGTTCCACTGGATATGGGTCAGAGACTGAAGCAATGCACCATACCCTGATCCTACAGTTGTCATTGACGATGTCTATCAGCACAGACTGTCTGCCTAGGGGCCATCCCATTCCTAAGGAACTCAAAGGAACAAAGTTATCAACTTACAGCAGCCGGGAGGGGCCATCAAATCTACAGAGCACGTGTGGGATAGTTAATCAGAGGTCATGCAAAGTTACAACATGGTTTCTTTTCTACCATATGGCTGCCTTTATGTCAACCTTGTGTCAAGCCCCTATCAATTTCACCTGTCTGAGCCTCAGTGCCCCCAAGGCATTTACAGGGCCAGCTCCCAAGGTTCTCGTGAGGATCCTTTTCAGATCGTGAAGTTCCCAAAGTCCTCAGTGCAGACCACGGAGAGATGCTCCACACATGAATCTTGGCCTCTCTTCCCCAAAGGCACAACCCCCACCCTGTCCCATGGTCCCTGCCCCACAGCAAAGACACACTCAGAATTCTCTACAGGATTTTTATTGCAGTTGGGGGGTGGAGGGGACATGGGATGTCCTGTGGGAAGTCTTCGACACAGAGGCTGGGCATGTGGGAAGTTTCAGAGCCTTTGCCTGGGTCTCTGTCTGGGGCACAGCCCTGGAGGAGAGGGGCGGATCCTGCTTGGGTGGGGGCGTGGCGGGTGGATGCAGCTAGGGTTGGGGGGTAAGAGGGGCAGCCTCCTTGTGCGGAGAGGGAACACGATCTACTGTATCTGGAATATCTTTCATTGTATTTGATGCCATTTTCCTGTAGAGAGAGAAGGGGAGAGGTCACTGTGTTTTGCCCCAATCCCGCCCCTACCCTGACTCCCTGGTCTCTCTTCCCCCAAGAAGATTCGGAGTTGACAAGAACTGGGTGGTCCCACTTCTGTGCCTGTTTCCCAGAGGGACCAGAGCTTCTTGAAGTCAGAACGCTTCATGCTGGCCTGGCTCTCAAGGCCTGCCCTCTCTGCCCCCACGCCCACTCTGGCCCTCACTGTCCCCTGTTCCCTGTTGATTCAAGGGCACTTTCCAGCTGCCTGCCCTTTGCTCAGGCTGTTCCCTTGTCCTACAATGCCACCCTCTCCTTGACTATGTGCACATCTTCCTGCCTCAGGGCCTCTGCACTCCCCGTCCACAGGGAACATTCTCCCCACATTCCTAGCCCCTGCTGCATTTTCCTTCATTCAGATCTCAATTGAAAGTGTCACTCTTCAGAGCAGACCCAGTCACCCTGTCTACAAGAGCCCCTCCCCATCCCTGCTTGTTCTCAACACCCTGTTTATCGTCTTCTCAGTGCTGCGCTCCCTCTGGGCTCCTCTCCTGGAACTCCCTGGTTCATGGGCTGTTCCCCTCCCCCTCCCTCCCCCAAATGGCAGCTCCCCGTGGGCTGAGACTTCGTCTTGCTCATCAATCCCGTTCCCCACATGGACCAGGTCCAGGCCCTGAGCCGATGCTCAATGAATATTCATTCAGGAACGAATGCATTCCTAACTCCTCAGACAGAGCCACTGTGGGCGAAACACCCTGGAGCGTCCACACTGTGCCAGGCCCCATGCGGTCCTCCAGGTCCTTATCCTCAGAAGCCCCCATGGCACAGACGGAGAAACTGCGGCTCCTGATGTCACAGGAGGAGTGGGTCTGCCCCAGTCTGAGGGCCCAGGTCTGTGCAGCCACAGCTTGGGCCTGTCCCCACCACCCAGGGCCATCTCCACATGATCCTGGATAGAATCAGGAACCTGTCCCCCAAGTCTGAGCACCCAGAGAGCCAGCTGTGTGACCGCAGGGACCTTGTCACCCTCCCCAGCATCAGTTTTCCCAATCTGTTCATCCATGCACTCAGCCCACCCGGGCCCCGGGAAGGGGACTTACCAGGTCGCTGAAGCTCCGTTCTTCTTGTTGATGTCGTCGATGATGTGTTTCACGATCTCCTCCCCCAGGTGCTTTCCAACCTTCTTCACCTCCCTCCAGATGATGTCGACAACGCCGTCCGGCTCTAGGTCCGCCTGGGCCAGGGCTCGGCCTGTCCAGGAGACGGGGAGGGTGCAAACATTTCAGTATTGGGAGGCCTCCCGATGAGCGTCAGGGATGGGAAAGGAGGTCCAGGAACGGGATTCTTGGGGCTCACGGTGTTAAAATGGGGGGGAGGTAGTGGGCCCCCAGGTGCGTCTCAAGCTGCTAGGAATTGCTTTCTCTCCCTGGACACACCCTGCCCACGCTACCACGCTGTAAGAGCAAGACAACCAATCCTGGAGGGGTGGGGGTCAATACGTCATCAGTTGCTGGGGCTCCAGAGAGCAGATTTCCCACTTGCTGGACCCAGCTGGTGGGATGTGGTGGGGTGATGAGTGGACGACAGGGGAACCTGGGCACATAAGGGGCCCCGGAGCTCTCCAGGGTCCTCTGAGCCTGGACCCCATGCCCGGGGCCAGCTTCGCATTTCCAAATCTCAAACTCCCAGGGTCTCCTCTCCCCTTTTACCTTCACACACCATCCACAGAGCCACCAACAGGACCGGGAGCGACAGAGCGAGCCTCATGGCTGGTGAGGGGGCTCTGAAGGCAGAAGCGGGGATGGGGTGATCAGTGACACCCCATATCCCTCCCCCAGGTCCCTCCCGGGAAGTCAGTGAGCACCTACCTGGACCAGAGAGGGACAGGACAGGTGAGCTCCCAGCTGGACCAGTGAGGGCCAGGTGAGATGAGGGAGCCTGGCCTGGCCTGGGCCTTTATAGGGCTGGGGAGGGGTGGGGCAGGTCTCCCCTCCTTCCCCCTGGGCCTCCCTGTGTCCTCTCACCTTTCCATTTGGGCCCCTTGCTGATGGAGGCAGGTCAGGTGGGGCGCAGGCACGACCCTTTGGCCCGAAGCCTCTGGCTGTCCGTTGCCAGCATCTCGAAATCTCCCTGACTATGGGGCCCTCCACCTGCTCCAGCCCTTCCCCCACAGGGGGCAGTCTCCACCTCCCCTCCTGATGCACACCCTGCTCCCAGCCTCAGGGCCTCTCCCTCTCCCTCTGGGTAGCTCAGGGACTCAGTTCACACTGGACCCTGGCCCTCTTCCATCCCGCCCATTCTTCCCAAGCCTCTTCAGCCCAAACAGCTCCCGCTCCACGTCTCTGGGGTCATGCCGTTGCCCCACACTCCTACCCCTGGCAGGCCCCCTCCAATCTCACTCTCAGACTCGCCCTTCACGCCCCACAACTTGCATCTGGAGCTCCCAGGCCTGGCTACCTGCTCTCTGGGTCTGAACTTTAAGGCCCCCTCTCTCCCTTTTGGGGAGGAGTCTTTTCAGCCTGTCTGAACAGCAAAGCCCACGCTGCAAGGCTCCCAGTGTGGGCCCCACCATCCATGCCCCAGGCCCCCTCTTCTGGTGCTCCCCCCTCCTCAAGTCTTCAGGACCCATAAACAGTCTGTCTGCTGTTCTTCACACTCTCAGGCCCCTTCTAGCAACAGCCCCTCTCCCCATCTCCCCTCTCTCCACCACATCTGTCTCTCGGGGCTGGATCCAGGGCTACCCCCCTCTTCTCGGCCGCCTTTGACCCCCAGTGATCCCTGGCAGCTGGGAGAAGGGTGGCCCAGGATCCAGACTCTAGCTTGGCTGACCTTGTTTCCCCACCACCACGTGTCAGTCTGGAGATGAGAGGAGATGGTTTGAAAGGGACACACAGATACTACCCTGGCAGCATTGCAACACCCCTCTAGCCACCTCAGCACTTCCGGTCCCTGTCAGCCACATTGCTGCCTTCCCAGACATCCGCCTCCCTGGTGAGCCCAGCAGTCCCCAGACACGCACCCAAAGTCTGCTCCCCTCCCTGTCTTGACCCAAAAGAAGAGGAAACAAGTTGACTTTTCCAGTCTCATCCGCATCCCAGCTATAGGGGTTTCCGTTCACAGATGGGGAAACTGAGGCCCAGCCAAGATCATTCAGTGGCTCAGTGAATGGTTAGGTGGGTGGAGGCATCTTAGTCCCTCCCCTTCCCAGACCTCTGGCTGTCTCTCTGCATCCATGCCGGGGTCAGCCTCCGCCCCACAGCACCCCTGTCAGCCTGTGTCTCTCGAAGCTCCGTCCCCAGCCCCTGTTCCACATCTTGATCTGACTGGGGCTGAGGTGAGGCGGGACAGCTCTCTCTGCTCGGATATCTTCCTATGTGAGGATTCAGAATTCAGCCCTCCAACTAACAGACGTGCCAGGCAGCCCCTCTCTCCCTTACACCTGGGGAAACCGGCTCAGAGGAGTGTCCCCAGCTCCAGGGCACACTGTGATCAGTGGAATGCTGAGCTGGGGCCAGGCCCTGGCCTCTGAGCCCACTGACCCTTTCCCTGCTCACTGGGCTCTGGGTGAGTCAGGTGGGAGAGGGGAGCCGCCTCCACAGAGGCACCCAAGGCAGGGCCAGGGAAAGCCCTCGTGGTGCAGAGTGTGCAGGAGTGAAAGCAGGCACGGGGACAAGGAGAATGCAGGTTGGCCTGCGGGACACGAGTGCCAGCCTGGCCCGTCGCCTGTG